AAATTGCTTTTGAGAACCAAATTTGTTAAACAACTTTTTCTAACACCACTTCTTCAAAATAGACTCGCCCAGGCCATGGTATTTTGTGGAAGAGCCACACTCAATGGGGCCAAAGAGCTGCATGTGGCTCTAAAGCCGCAGTTTGCCGACCACAGCCCTAGCTGGTTTGTCTCAATGGATAGAGTGTTGGCCTGCGAACTGAAGAGTCCTGGGTTCCATTCCTTGGCCTGCGAACTGAAGGGTCCTGGGTTCCATTACAGTCAAGGGCACATGCCCAGGCTGCAAGCTCGGTTTCCAGAAGGGGGCATGCAGAAGGCAGCCAGTCAATGATTCTCTCTCATCAGTAATGTTTCTCTCCCTCTCTGAAATCAATCAAAATATATATATATACATATATAAAATATTTTTTTAATCTACTTTGCCCATTATAACCACTAACCTGCTCAGAGCTGCACTGACCTCATCATTCAATGGGAATAAAACCCATCTCATGGAGCTGCTGTGGGGAGGAGGCTATACAATGGATGCAAAGAATCTGTCCAATGAGTGACACATTAACAGGCACTCAAAAAGGAGTTAATTTTATTTTCCTTTATTTATTATTAATTTTCATATTTTTATGTACTATCAAACACCAAAGAGCATTCCAAATCAGAGGATATATCCTCTGATATGAAGTTTGTTAGGGAGAAGGTCATTCCAAGCTCTCTGTCCAAACCAAAATTCTAGGACTTCACACTGAGAGGCAGCTTTGAGGTGTAGGCAGCCCCCTTGATGTGGGGACAGAATCCTAGGAATATTAAGAACTTGAAGCAAAAGTACTTTGTGGGTGTTTTTAAGGCAGCTGATGCTAATCACCATGTACTATCACAAGCTACACAATGTGCTAACTGATGTACATTATCCCATTCACTCCTCACAACACAAAAACAGTTAGATATTAGTAATATACTGAGGTAAATATCATAAGAGTACAAAAAGCAAGAATACAGGCACAACTAGTTTTATTGCACTTTTCTTTACTATACTTCACAGATATTATGGGTTGTTGTTGTGTTTGTGTGTGTGTGTGTGTGTGTGTGTGTGTGTGTGTTTTCACGAATTGAAGGTCTATGGCAACCCTATGTTGAGCAAGTCTATCAGTGCCATTTTCCAACAAGATCAGATAATGGTTAGCATTTTTAGCAATAAAGTACTTCTTAATTTAGTTATGTACACCAGGGATTTTTTTAGACATAATGCTATTGTTCATTTAATAAACTACAGTATAGTGCAAACGTAACTTTTCTGCATAGTAGAAAACAAAAATATTCATGTGACTCTTTATTGTGATATTAAATTGCGGTGGTCTTACAATTATCTCTGAGGTATGCCTGTACAGATTGTATAAAGAATATCATAATCCACAGAGCTAGGCTATAATAATCAAAAAATAAGTGAGAGCCACTATACCAGAGATTCCCCCTCTAATGAATGTCAGTAGGGCCATCCTAAGTCACTATTTTGGAACATCTATAGAAGATTTTTAAGAATCTGTTTCCAGACTGTTTTCAAATAATGTATGACCACATAATTTTTTTTTATGACTACATATTTTCTCACACAGTACTATTATATCCTATATAATAAAAGGCTAATATGCAAATCAACCAAATGGCAGAACAACCAGTCACTACGATGCAGACACTCAAGGCAGGAGCTGCCCGCTAGTGATCAATGCACTCCCATAGGAGGAGCATCGCTCAGCTCATGACTGGCAAATACAGTAAGAGTCCAATAAAAGTGAGCTTATTATCCTCCTATTTCTCAATCACTGTATTGGACAACTCATTTACCATGCTCCATTTCCTCTTCAGGTTCAATGAAAACATTTTTGCAATTGCTTTAGAAATAGTAAAAGTATTACAAAGTGCTTGGCCAAATAGTCTAGGCTAAAGGACAGAAATTGCTAAAATAAAATAAAAAATACAGGTAACGAAATACACTGCAGATGGAAGTGTAAAATACTACCACCCACAGGAAAACTGACTGACAGCATGCACTGAAGCTGAACAAATATAAACCTATGACCCAGCAATGCTATTCCAGGTACACCAACAGCAATGTGCATTAACACTTCCACACCGGCACTACTCTTAACAGCAAAAAACTGGAAACTGACCAAAAGCCTATCACAGGGAACACTCCACAGTTCTGAGAATGACTGACCTCCAACTAACTACATACAACAATAAGGGCAAGTTTCACAAACAAAATGTAAAGTGAAAGAAGCCAGACACGAGAGAGTATAGAATTCTAGCTATAAAAGGTGTTATCGATAGAACAGGCAGGACTGGATGCTGGGATGCACCGCCCATGCCCTCCTTGGGAAGGAAAGATCATCCCCAGCTGCTCGGAGCTCTGCCAGCACACACCAGGCAGCTGTCCACCCGCTTTAGAAACTGCCTCTCAAAGAGCAGCAGCCCCAAGGCCCAACCCTTCCCGAGCAGCCAATCACTGGTAAACAAAGGGCTATAACCAACAATTTCTTATGCAACTTGGAAGATCTCTGGGGGCCTTTCCAGAACTCCACAGGGGATCAACTAGGCTTCCACTAAGACTGAATCACAAATCAGCTTTTCCACTGCCCAACCCTGCTCTCTTTCTTTCCCTTCCCTTCCATAATCACTGACCCGAAGTACTCCCCCTAATAAATGTCCTGAACCCTAATCTCGCTCTCAGAGTCTGTTTCCCAGAGTATCCAAACTACAACCAAGCAAAGTGGATCCACGATGTGAGAGGTGAGGACAGTGATGACAGAGGGGAGAGGCAGGTAATGTAGAGGAGGGGGAAGGAAGAACTTCTGGGGTATTGTATTAATAGTAGTCTTTTTAAAAACTATGGGTGCTGGTTGTATGAATGTGACCACATGGGATAAATTCATTGTACTATAATTATACTTTAATATGAAATAAAAGGAAAATAAAAGAAAAACTAGAAAATGATCAGAATGAGATAGAACCTTAAAGAACATTCACCCCTTGTGCATCCCTTAATAACCATTTACTGGGAACTTAGCACAGCCCAGAGATGGCTAACCCAAGATCAAAAACCAGCTGGTGGCAAACCAGGTCCACAGCCGTGCCTGGCCTCCTGGACAACAGGCTTCTCCTCCTTTTCCCAAACCATGTTCTCACGGGCAACAATGGGAGTCGAATCTGAGGCTACCTGCAACCAGCCTGCCAGCCAGGCAGTTTTGCCTCGCAAGGAGGAAGATTACCAGGTGAGCCAAAATGCAAGCACCCAAAGGTACGTTAGGTATCTTCACCTTTGAGTCTTCCTGTAGACACATACCCTGCTCTGAAATCAGACATGAAAATCTTCCTAATGTAGATAAAACAGCATGCTTGACTCTCAAGAAAGGATTCATTACAGCTGGCTGCATTTATTACTTACCTATCCCCTCACTCCCACCTTCTAAAAAGCAGTTGTTCATTTAGTTAATAAAATGTCCTATCTCTTCTCCTTTTAGAGAATAATAAACACAAAGAGGAAAAACATGCCCTGAATAGGGAAGATAAATTCCTTCACTTCCCTATCTGGCTCTTAATGAGGTTTTTATCATTACCCATTTCTGATGCTAAACTCATTTGGGTCATTTCCTCACTGAAAACCATTCATCCTATACTTTTGGAAAACTTGAGACCAAATGATTCCCTTTAGATGACAATGATGATGGTGATGATGGAGATAGAACCAAAGAAGAGATTGGGGTACTATTGCAACAGAATTGTTACTTTATTTCCAAAACAATTTTAGTTTTTCTCTGAGATGTAAAAATTAAAGGTTGTGAGTGATCTCTAGGAAACTCAAAGGTCTATCCCTACCCAATATTCATGAGCATTGTGTAACAACAAAGAGGGGAGAATATGAGTTTTACCTGCATTACTTTGGCTGGATCCAAGAGAAGAGTTAATCTTTCAGCGTGTGGTGATTGTTGATTTTTGTTTGCCTGTTTTTCTTGGAAAGAAGTAACAGAGCATACAACCCCATAACTAAGCTCCAATCAAAATTTTTGGGCTTGATCCCAAAAATAGCTAAACATGCTTGGGTTTCCTTTGAAGCTTTTCTTTCTTTTTTTTTTTTTTTTTTTTTTTTTTTTTTTTTTTTTTAAGAAGAAAACATCACAGAGGAGTATGTACAACTAAATTATTTGACCCTTTCTAAAAGGGTTTGTCTCCCAGATAAATGTGACTAAGAGTTGAAAAAGAATACATAAGAATATGCCTTCTACTCTTTAGCTTGAACGCCCAAGAAGAAGCTGGCTAGGAATTTCCCACTGTTTTTCAGGTCTTTCATTCATTCAACAAAAATTTTTTGAAAGCCTACTCTACCTTCCAGCAAAAATCTATTTAAGTTCTCCCTATATAGAGATATAAAAATATCTCAAATTATCCCTTCTCACCCCTTAAGAGAATGCTAGAACCCTCTCCCACTCAAATCAAGAAGCAATTTTACACCCTCACTCTATTATGCTCCAGTCCTTCACAAAAGAACAGACGAAGAATGTTCCCTGTCTGTTTTTCAGACATTCTTCCTATTCAAATGCTGTTGGCCCTTCCAAAATTCAGAAGAAGAAAAAAATCAGAGCAAATCTGTTTCCTGGGAAGAGTGACTTAGGACTTAGTCAGAGGGATGAGATAGGTGCTATCGGAGTTGTGTCTGAAACGTGGTCAGCAGTTACATTTGTGTCACATCTTTCCAAACTCACCAAGCCCTTCATCTACAAAGAACTTGTTCCACAACTGGGACCACGGACTGCAACAAGAGCGAGAGGAGCATGCTTCTCCCTGCCCACCTTCTCCCCCTTTAGAGAACATCTCTGACAGAGCAGGAGAGCCCTCCGGGCACACTCAGTGTTTGCAATGGACACATAGATCAGACGGGTCTGTGGCCGACTCTAGCTGTGTTCATGAGAGTGGTCTCCACACTGCTGCATGAAAATCTGAAAAGCAGTCTACCTCGGTTGGTCCAGCATACATCATGGGAGATGGGAAGATGGCCACCACCGTTGTTTCGGGATTCAGGACGCCTTCCTCCAGCACGGCAGCATGCTGCTTCATTCGCCACATCAAAGGAACGTCGTCATCCTTGGTCCAGCCACCCAGAGGGTGCAGGAGGAGAACAGGGCGCCGGTAGCCCCTCTCTAGAAGCTGTTTATGGGTGTCCTGCATTAGTAGAGCATGTCCATTGTGCACTGGGTTGCGTAATTGAAATGCAAAGACAGCATCTGAAAAGAGAATTTTCAGAGTTAGAGGAGCATGTTTCTAACAGATGACCTTGCAAAAGATAAACAATTCTTGAAGCCTGATGCTTAGGATTAAGCAAGCATGCATTCTCGGAATTAAAACGGGTGAAAACATGTACTGCTCTGACCACGCCAACATGACCTGCACTTCTACTAACCTCACGTTTGAGGATGTGTCATAACATTGATGGGTTTATAACAATCACTTTCTGCATTCATGGGAAACTTGAGAACAATCATACTCTCAGGCCCTGACATTCTGGTTCAGCTGCTTACGTGGATATAAATTCTTGGTCTTTGCCTTAATGACCCACCAGTCCAATCCCTCCATAGCAGCAATCGCCAACCTTTCGGACCTCATGGACCACCAGTGGCCCTCGGACCACCGGTTGGCAAACGCTGCTCCATAAGACCTAACACACTTCTTTATTAAAAGAATACAGTAAGGTGGAGACATTTATAATTCAAAAAATTTGTTTGCTATCCAAGTATGTGATTACTTGCTTGACTGGAACCCTATCTGGCTTTGTGATGCCAGGTTGGGATTTTGGATTATAGCTAAGCAACAGCAATATTCCTACAAGGGCCATTGCTATTACCCAAACAATAGGAACTGCTAGATTCATTAGACTGATTAACTCTGTATCTCAGGCTTACAATCCTGGCTTTATCCCTACATGGGGCTTCCTATTAGGAGACCTTTCTGAGAAGACATGGTTCTTTGGGGTCACAGAAGAATCTCACAGGAGAGAGTAACAACCTGACAGAGGAGGTCTGATACTGCCTTCACAACCCCTGGCACAGCGCCATGTTCATCCAAGCCTGACTCAGAGAGAGGCACGTCCTACCCTCCCCTGATAATGTTAAGCCAAGCAGTAAACGTCAACGTCCTCTCCAATCTGTTCTCCATTCTAACCCATTTCTATCCCATGACAAAATCCCAGGAGGGAAACTGTGGCCCCTATTTAACCAGGGGTTTTTTTTTTGGCACAACCTCTGATATTCTAAGATTTACAGCATTATGCTTTGAAGTTCCTTTTATATAGATAGATAAATGACAATGAAGTTATTCCAAGACCTGCTGCTCAACATGAGCTGAAACAACCTTTATGTTATGAAGAAAGTACTCAAAGAATGACAGGGGCACGTCAAAAGGATAAAGTAGCCAGTCTGGCGAACCCAGAACAAGTTAAACATCCAAGTAAATAATAGTAATGGATCGTACCCAACAGAGTAAATCGAGAATCTGTGAGTCCCTAAGAATAAAATAAACGAATAACCAATGGGGGAGAAGTGGAAATTCTACCTCATGGTAGAAAGTCAACTAATAAATGTGAAAGAAATGAAGGGATTAGAAATTCACCATCTGACAGTTTTTGTATTGTGCTAAAACTAGCAGGTAAAAGTCTGATGGCAACAGAATATTTATGGTCTAAAAATCTCTCCCTCAAAATACTTGTAAGTATAAAACAATTTGCTAACTTTACAGCAGAAAAAAACTGGCAAACACAATCTTAAGTGATAAAAACTAACTTTAAAAAAGGTGAACCTCATCTGTAACAGAAGAAATCAAAACTGTGAGCCACCCAATATGAAGCGCGAACTCTCTTCCCGGCGAGCGTTTCCGGGTGAGGGCGTGAGCTCAGTGCGGGACAGGCAGCTGTGTCCTCTCTAATCACGAACAGGAGTCTATCTGACCCTTGGTTAATGCATCTCAGCTGTATGATGACTACATTCCTAGACTTCAATCAGGTCAAATCTGACTTTGTAAAATCGCCCTTTAGCACGGTTATTTATATGACAGGATGTGCAAAAGGAAATATAAAAAAAAAAAAATTCTGTCTCACATACACATATTTCACAGATTCTAATAATTTATCTACCTAGGCTTTCTTTCCAAAAAGAATTAATCTAGCTCCACACTGGACATTTCACAGATAAAGTTAAGATGGATGACTTATTAAAAGTTCACATTAGAAACATATAAAGGATTTTGCTGCCAAAATGTCTTCCAGGTATAATTCTTTCCTTACTATCAGTTGCACTCAGAAATCCCGTGACCACATTTGATCTGTCTGCCCATTTTTTTCTTGCCAACAGAACCAGGTCTTTCTTAAGTTTCTAATCTTTTCAATTCCTTATCACTATATATATAAATTAATTATACAAATGGCTGTAACCGTCTGTAGTTCCAGGCTGTATTTTCACCCCTACCGTTTGGTCTCTCCACTAAAGAACTTCCGTGAATGAACCCTGTAATCAGAGTATCTGATCCATTGGGAGCTACACTCCCAGGACACTGTCCCAACGAACATAGCCCAGTGTGCATCACTATTAAATTTTCTTTCATCAATTTTCCATAAAAAATAAAAGAATAATGGGCCATTATGAACCTGGGGCCACTAATACAACAATTTTCATTATGTCTCACATTGTAATTGCCATTTTCTAAAAAGCAATGATTTCCCTGTTGTCACACCATAATCAGTATAAAATATTTGACTTCTCACTTATAATTCCTTATGGCTTAGTTTCAGACTGCTTTACCTAAGATCATGTTTAAAAATAGGTGGTGATCTACAAATGACTGAAATTTAATATTAACACTTATGATTTCCATTTCTTTCTAGCCCTCTGTACCTGTTCCTGGGAAAGGATAAGGTATTCCATAATCTTGACTTATAGAAAGTACACTGCAAAGCTGCTGACACCATAAATAAAAGCACACTTTTCCCTTAAAGAGGCAGAGTGAATGCTTTAGGCTTTGCAGGCTATGGGGTTTCTGCAGCAACTATTCAGCCCGCTATTCTGGTGAAAAAAAAAAAAAAAAAAAAAAAAAAGCCACAAACAATGCATAAACCAATGAATGTGGCAGGTTCCCAATAAAACTTTATTTACAAAGAATAGCAGTGGGCCAAACTTGGTCTGCATGCTATATTTTGCTAAATGAAATGTGACTAATAGAAGTAAAATCAGTATTCTAACCAAACTAACTGATGTGAGCCAAACTGTGGACGCAGAAAAGCTGAGATAGATGTGTGTGAGGAACACAGGATCATCCATTCTGCCACAGATGTATATAAAAGCTGACAGAAGATGATCATATAAAATATCAAATGCCAAGTAAGGCAGGACACAATGGGACGAAAAGGGGTTGTGAGTTAACTGGTAGTGTCTTACAGAAAACGATAATGGCACTGTGCAAGACTGATGGGCAGGGCAGAGAGTAAGTGGGTAGAGTGAAGAGACAGCAAAATGAGAAGATGATTATTGCTGAGGAACATGTTCCCACAATTCCATATAAAGTAAGACTTCCACCAACTCTCCCATTCTCTGCAGGGGCCTGATGTGGCGGGGGCCTCCCTTTTCCACGTCCCGCACGGAAAGAGATGAACGAACCGGTTCTAAGTGGAGGCGGCCAGGGATTGAGAAATAATGGAAATAAAGAGAGAAGACACAGAGATAGATTTAAAGCTGGAGCTGGGTGGGCCACCATTCTGTCTGCTGGAGAGATAGGAAGATGACGAGGTGACCCCTCCCAGTGCATTTATTTTATACCCAATACCAAGAAGTAACACCAAAACTTAGGATCAAAGAAGCTTATGTGCATTCTTAAATAGGCCCTAGCTTGCCTGAATTTACATATCTAGACCCGCCCTTGCCAACACCTGGGCTTGATATGAAGGCCAAGCTGATTACACTTTCTGCCATGTTGGGGAAATGTGTATCTGAGCCTCAGCTCTGCCAGTTGTCTTGGACTCAGCTAATTTAAGGAAAATGCCCATGTGCCTTCCCAGGCGCCCCTCTCCCATGCTCTCCACCCACTCAATCTACTCCTCCCCCAGGACCCAGACAGGCTCCTCTGGCAGACCACAACCTACACACTGGTGAGTGGGGTGAGCCCCGCTATGACAACAGCGAAGACAGGCAATGCCCTGACCCCCAAGCACTCTCCCCATCCTGCTCCCAGCAGCCTGAGGCCCCTGAGCAGGGTCCTGTGTTAGCCACTAGTAAATCTGCGTCTGCTGACCAGAACCCGCCCCTACACCCCAGATCATCTCACCACTCCCTCTTAGTGCCCCAAGTACACCTCAGGTTGGATTCCTCACAGCCTCCTGTGCATCGCTGGTCCTCCTCCACACCCTCGGAGAGCATAGTCCCATCACTCATCTCAGAGACTCAGATCCCTTATCCCTTCCTCACCCTCACCCTCCACGGGCGATGAAGCACATGGGCCCTAGATCTCATCAGAAGCTCTACTCCCTCACTGCCGATGCACCGCAGGCTTGCACCCCCTCTTCACAAAACGTGTCCACGACCTGGCCTTCCTCCCCGAGTCCAGCCTCCGCACCCTGAGACAGCAGGCAGGGCAGCGAGTAGACAATGTGGGGCAAGATGAAAAAGCCACGGGAGAGATGCTGTCCTGAGGCAGAGTGGAACCGGCCCTGCCCCCAGGAGCGTCCAATCTGGTCAGAGGAGGAGAAGCCGACATTCACCAACCAGAAAATAAGCCCGTGTGCAAAGGAAAATACACTTCCTTCAACAGCAACAGGCGAAATTAGGTCTTTGTTTTCAAAGGGTCAGTCTGGTGACTGTGTGAAGGATAAATGGAAGAGCAGGACTGGATTCATTCATTCGGCCAATTCCTTCCTGCTCCGTCATGTGGCATGAAGCTCCTGCCAAATCCAAAGGAAACGTTCCTGTTTTAAATGCTCCTGGCCTCTCCGCTGCTTCTGACATAAAAACAAAACAAAAACAAAGACAACAACAACAAAAACCACTTTCCTAGTTGCTCTCCTTGCCCATGCATTTTTACACAGTCCTCATCAGGTATGCGTGGCATTTTATATTCTGCTTGGCCATTTTGGTGCAATCACCTGTTACTGACATCCTGTAGGACCTCTCAGAGCAGCAGGGCTCACCGCTGCGACCGAAGAAATTCTTTCTCCACACACTCTTCCAGAAACTCACCCTTCGCCTGG